GGCATTTTGATATGCCGCCATTTTTGGGTCCATTGCGTCGAACTCTCCGTTGACCTGGGAAATTGCGAGGTTGGAGTCACCGCTCACCTCCAGGCGTTGTATACCCATGGAGACAGCCATGCGAAGACCATGTAGCAGCGCCTCGTATTTGGCTGCATTGTTGGAATCCGTATACATAATTTGTAGTACGTAGCAGACTGTGTCCCCAGTGGGGGATGTTAGGATGACGCCAGCCCCCAGTCCGGCCAGCATTTTAGAGCCGTCAAAGTACATAATCTAATTGGAGTATGAAATATACTCTTTAGGGGGTTCGGCTTCCGTCCATTCAGCGACAAAATCAGCCAGCACCTGGGATTTAATAGCCCGGCGTGGCTTCTATACGATTTCAAATGGTAAAAGCTCGATGGCCCATTTGGCTATGCTGCCAGTGGCGTCCCTGTTATTGATAATGTCATTGAGCGGTACCTCAGATGCCACTGTGATCAAGCACTCTTGAGAGTAGTGTCGCGGTTTACGGGATGCCATGAATACTGTGTAGGCTATCTTCTTGTAGTGGGGGTGTAAGAACCTCTGATACATAATAAACTTGTTTTTTGGGTGGGGAATCTATGTCGCTCTTCCCCTCGTTCGACGACGAGTACAACACTAACCACTTGGTTAGTCGTCGAAACATATAACAACATGGGCTCTGCAACACCTGGTGCAGCTAGGATTGGGTTGCTTGTAAGAAGGGTTTTAATCTCTTCCAGTCCGACTGTGGCAGCATTCGTCCATTTGAAGTTGTATGTGCGTCGTAATAGCTTGTAGAGTGGTAGCGCTTTTTCTCCCAATTTGGAGATAAAGCGGCTTAAAGCTGCGATGCAACCCGCTAGCTTCTGGACTTGCTTTAGGTCTGTTGGTATGGCCAATTGTGACAGTGCTCGGATCTTGGCTGGGTTTGCTTCAATTCCTCTATGGGAAACAATGAACCCAAGCAGCTTTTCGGCCGGAACTCTGAAGACACATTTTTCCGGATTAAGCCGTATGTCGTATGTTCGGAGGTTGTCAAAGGTGAGGCGCAGATCGTCTACCAGTGTCTCGACAAGCTTTGTCTTGATGACCACGTCGTCCACATATGCTTCGACTGTTTTGCCTATTTGCTTTTCCAGGCATGTTTGAATCATGCGCTGGTAGGTAGCCCCAACGTTTTGAGTCCGAAGTGCATAGTATTGAAGCAGAAGGGACCATAAGGAGTGATGAACGCGGTTGCCGCCTGGTCCAATTCCTTCATCTTAATATGATGGTATCCGGAATAAGTGTCGAGGAAACACAAAGAGTCGCGCCCTGCAGTTGCGTCAATAATTTGGTCGATGCGAGGCAATGGGAATGGGTCCTTAGGGCAAGCCTTGATGAGGTCCTTGAAATCGACACACAGGCGCCAGGATTTGTCCTTCTTTGGTACCATAACCAAGTTGTCTAACCAATCCGGATGTTTAATTTCCCTAATAAACCCAGCCTCTAATAATTTGGCTAGCTCTTCTCCCATGGCTTGATGCTTGGGTTCGGAGAATCGCCGTAGTGTCTGCTTCACGGGTTTGAATCCCTTGATTATGTTGAGACTGTGTTTGGCCAGTCTTCGTGGGATGTCGGGCATGTCTGAAGGGTGCCAGGCAAAAATATCCCAATTCTCTCGCAGGAATGTGCGTAGGGCGGCGTCCACTGCCGGATCCAGTTGTGCTCCGATAGATGATGTTTTATTAGGGTCCGTCGGGTGCACTTGGAATTTCACTATTTCCTCGGCTGGCTTGAAAGAGGTGGATTTGGATCTCTTACCGAGAATCACTTCGTCCCTATCCACTGTGGACCGTAGGGTGGTTAATTCCTCCGCTGCTAGGGCTTCGGATAGTGCCTCAAGGGCCAAGGATGCAGTTTTGTTTTTGGCACGTAGGTCTTTGTCCGGGTCGCTCGAGATTGTGATAATTCCATTAGGACCGGGCATTTTGAGTTTCATATACCCATAATGGGGTATAGCTTGAAAGCATGAGAAAGCGTCCCGATCGAGGATGGCGTGATACCCACTATTGAAGGGGACCACATGAAAGAGCAACTCTTCGGATCTATAGTTCTCAGGCGTGCCGACCACCACATCCAGTTTAATTTTTCCCAAGAAGTGTGCCTCTCGACTGGGGATAATACCTCGAAAGGTGGTGTTGCTTTGCTCGATGCGCAATCTATCCATCTACATTTTGTTGAGCATGTCCTCATAGATGAGGTTAAGTCCACTGCCGTCGTCCATGAGCACTTTAGTAAGTCGAAAACCATCAACGATGGGGTTTAGTACTAAGGCGGCGGGTGCTCGGACTGACCGAGCCATTGGTTCGTCTTCGGCCATAAAGGTTATTGCCGTGTCGTTCCATGGGCTCAGTGCGGTAATTTGATGGACTTCCACGAGGTCGCGGAGTGCCCGTTTGCACCGATTGTTTCAAGAAAAGGTCTCGAAGACTGTTAGGACGTTAAAGTTGTCCTTCTCTGGTGAGTGTCTCTCTGGAGTTGTGGTGAGGATGGCCTCTCTACTTTTTGCTACTTGTCGGAGTACCCAGCATGCTCGGAGGCTATGGGTTGGGACTGTGTGCGGAGTGGCGTGAATCGGGCATGGCTTGTCCAGCAGTTCGTCAAGAACGGACCTGTGTCCCATGAAGGGTTTGTTCTTCCTTCCCATGGACTGGTGGTCGGGTGACCCGTCGGGATGTATTCTTTTAGCCCGGGCCGCACACTGTGTCAAGGCATCGGGCTCCAGTTGAGTTTTCTGGGCCCTCCATGTACTTTTCATTGCACATTACTTTTATACTACGTGCGATAATTCCGTGAAACTCTGCATGTTGCGACGGTCGAGGGCATTCAATATTCCTTCGTCGGTGCAGTTACGGTGGAAAACCGGAACTACATCATCGTCCGAGCAGTCTTTGATCCTGTTTTTAACAAGCAGGAATCTGGCCCAGAAGTGGTGGACCGTTTCCTGAGGTTGTTGTCGCACATACATCAGGTCGTATATATATGGAGGACCTGAGTTGCTTGGAGAATGTAGATTGTGGTGGGTGGGTGGATTAAACTTTGGATCCTGTCCCACATCTGTGTGTGGAGCCAGAATGGTTTCCGAAGTGACCGGTTTGGGTCCAATTAAGCGCAAAGGCTCCGCCAATCCTACACTTGAACCAGAGTCTGGAGGGCGTAAGGTCCCGTCCGAGGGGGAAGTATCCGGCTCAGGGGATTTCGGTACCCAAACATACTTGGTTTTCAATATGGGGAAGGAAGTGTCTGTGGCCGGTTCCTCAACGACCGCCACTAAGTGGGTGACCGGCGGGTGATTAATTTTCCTCTAGTCGGTCTTGAGCCCGATCCGATCATAGTCCGTTGAGACCCCTAGGGAGGCGATGCGGTTTAGCAGTTCGTTTAAAGACGAAACATCCGCCGGATCCAATTTTTCGGAGTACTTAGGGCCAATGCGGGGACGGTGTCCAGCGGCCATGGGCGGAGTTGCAGGCTCGACGGTCGCGCGGGCCCTTATGGTGAAACCGCCAAACAAGAGGGTCTGCCCCGAAGCTAGGCAACCTCCAGAAGTGATATTGTTGTTGATGACTAGGCGAGCCATAGATCGCTTTTTGCAGACGGTACGGCAGAGCTCTCAATGAAAGCACAAATGTCGGTGTCAAAACCGGCAGATCTCGGGTAGGGGGGGCCCAAGCTGTGCGTCTAAGGATCAATGGTAACATGAGGCCAGGGGACACAGTGTTTACCCAGGTTCGGGCCCTCTTAAAGGAGGTAAAACCCTACTCTTGTTTGATTATATTTGACGAGTATGAAGATTAGAAGAGTTGATCTACTTCGAGATCGTAATGGCTAACCCTAAGTGTCTAGCCTATGAGGATTCTGATGATGGTGCAGAAGATAGCCTCTACGGACTAACCCCTCCAGCTTATATACACACCGGAGGGGTCTAGGGTTTGTACAAGGTCGATTTATCAGGGAAGGAAGCTTCAGACTCTATTCTTGCCGTCCACGTATTGGGAAGTCCCATCCGGATATAGTGGATAATCTTCAGCTTGATCTTGTACGGCCTATCCAACCCAGCCCATACTCCTGGGCCGAACACCTGGGGACCCCCGAATCTAGGACTCCCTCATCATTGGCCCGTCCGCGTCGTCCGCCCTGTCCGCGTCTCACACTGCGGGGACAGAGGAGCTAGCTAGCTAGCCTGCCCCTGGATGGATTCGAGCTGAGCTAGCTCTCGATCGAATCGAGCAGAGCTAGCAAGCTAGCTCTGGCTACCCGGAGCTAGCTAGCTAGCTCGCCCTTGGATGGTTTCGTGCGCTTCATATCTGGTCGCCTGCGGCTACGTTTTCGACAGGTTTGTGTGCTATCCGTCGGTTTCGCGGGAGCAAGCTAGCTCACCGGACATGGACGAGAGGAAAAAGAAGACGTGGGGAAACAATATAAGCGAGCATTTCGTTTTACAGTTTAAGTTTAAGGGATCTATTTTGCCGCAGCTAAAACCGACCCTTAAAACGCGTTTTTCGTGAACTGTAAAAGACTTATGCGGGTTGAGATTTTGCAGGGATGCTCGGCTCCGGGTGAGCGGACGGTGGCTAAAAGAAATGCGTTCCCACTGTTTGCATAGCGCCCGAACAGATTCAGAGCGGTGACGTGGCAACTAGCGCTGCTTTACGATCTCTGCTCATCATGGCACGGCTACCATAGCGTTGGCCCTGGACCTCTAAAAATCTGATGTCAGATTTGTGTTTTATGGAAATCCGATGCACTATATATATACACTCCTGAATTCTTTTCCTATTTACAGATGTGTCGACAATGGACTTGTACTACCATTACTGGCGAGCAATGCTTGGCAAAACAAATCATGAATCCGTGCCGCAGTGCATTGTCTGATCACGTCCCGGCAGCGCAAAGCTGCCTCTGAAGAATGTTGCAGTCACAAGCAGAGCTCCTCTGCTCCGCTCCCCCGATCACTTGACGAACTTCTGCACGCCTTCGAAGAAGTCCAGCATGTAGTCCTCGAGATCCTCAAGGGTGTACTTGACGTGCTTCGACGCCGAGTGCCGGCTGCCGCCGGACGATCCCGTCTGCGGCCTCGGCCGCGACAGGAACGACCGGTACGCCGGGATAAGCCGCTCCGACACGGCGATGCGGAGCTCCTCCCGGAGCTGCGGGTCGATCACTTTCCACGCCGTCTGGCTCCGGTACAGCTCCTCGAACGCCGCGTTGAAGCTCCTCGCCTTGTCCTTGACCGTCGGCGCCGCGCTGCCGCCGTCGTCCCTGAGGACGGATAGCACGGTGATCCACGACGCCCGGAGGTAGCCCGTCTCGTACTGCCGGATCTGGCCGCGGTGCCGGCGGATCCAGTCGTCGCCGAGGAGCTCCCGGAGCGGGGAGTCCATCACCTTCTGCACGATGTAGTACAGGTTGTTCATGAGGAATATGTGTTTCAGGCCGGCGTCGTCGTAGAGGCACGACTTCTCGTCCATCTTGCGCAGCAGCCGGGTCAGCAGCTCGAGCATGCACCGCCCTGACGGCGTCGACGTAGCGCCCCCGCCGCCGCCGGTGGCTTCGTCGCCGTCGACCGCATCCGCGGTGTTGACGAGGATCATGTCCAGCGTGCTGCGGCAGTCCGCGAGAAGGCCGCAGTAGTTGATCACGTAGCGGTTCATGGGGTGGATCTCTCCGCCCTGCACGGGCCTCCTCGACGACTCGCCCTGGATGGCGCTTCCGAACTCCTCGATCGTGCGGCGCACGGTGGAGCCCAGCCGCGCGGCCACGGCTGAGACCTCGGCGGCGAAGAGCTCGCGCGCGTCTCCGGTGAAGAGGGCCTCGAGCTCCGGCGCGACGTCGGCAAGCGCCTCGTACATGCCGAGCGTGCGGTAGAGCTTCTCGGTGGCGCGCGCAGACATGGCGACGGCGTCCGCGAAGCCGAGCAGCTGCAGGACGCAGCCCCTGGAGACGTCGGCGAAGCACTCGTGGCCGAGCTCCTCGTCGGACGCGAAGACCTCGTCGCAGAGCCGCCGCTCGCCGGCGAGGAGGGTCCTGACCACGGCCCGGTTGGCATGGTTCCACCGCCGCATCTTCTGGTCGAGCACCGCCCATTCCATCCTCAACACCTCCTCGATGGCCACGGGCTCGGCGGCGCCCAGCTGGTGCGCCACGGCCTCCGCGAGCGCGTCGCGGCGGGCGGTGACGTAGACCTGCGCGAGCTCCGGGCCGTAGCCGGCGCGCAGCATGCGCTCCGCGACGCCGCGGACGGAGGCGGCCGCGCGCGGGGAGAGGCGCGGCGACGCGTCGGGCGGCGTGGCCGCGTCGTCGAGGTCGTCCGAGGAGAGCGAGAGGCGCCGCGCGGACGAAGAGCAGAGCAGCGCGCGCGCCTCCTCCTCCAGGCGCGGCATGGCGGCCTGAACGACCTCGGCTGCGCGGGAGGCGAGGCCGCCCTGGAGCGCGGCCGCGGCGAGGGCGTCGTCGACGGCGTACAGGTAGTCGGTCATACCGGACGACGACGAGGAGGAGTTGCACCGGCGGATGACGTCCTCCGCGGCGGCGAACGCCTCCTCCTCATGCTCCTGCTCCTGCTCCTCCACCTCCCTCTGATCACACCCGTACGCCTCCCCGGCCGCCTCACCCTCCGCCGGAGGGGACATGGGGAGCAAGCGCGCGTCGTAGATAGACAGCACGCGCATCATGTCATCGGCAGCGTTCTTGGAGACGGCCATCCTCTTCACTATGTCCGTGGGCGGCGCCTCCGAGACCGAGGACGATGCGGCCGTGCTCGCCATGCTCGACGCGACGCGATCGTCCGGTGGGAGGGAACAGGAAGAAACCTCGCTGCTGCTGCTGCTTCTTCTTGTTCGGTGGTCTCGTCGCCGCGATGGTGGCGTGGGAAGACCGGGCGAAAGTATACGCCACCTACGCCGTGGTTTTAATCGCCTCGTAACGTTGACGCGCGACGGGCCAACCAACCAAGCACGGTCGCCGTTGCCGTGTCAAGCAATTGCTAGATTATCACCGCGGTTTTTGGACCGCCGCAGAATATTCAGAGGTGCGGTTCAGACCTGTGCTCGACAGATAAATGTCGCCATTTCTTTTCTACTTTTTTTTTTGGTTTATATAAAGATGAACGACCGATTGTCTGCTTCAGTTGATTAGTTGTAGACTCGTAGTACTTGGACGGTCGATCCTCTGTGAGGTTCACGGAAAAGTCGTCTGGTATTCAGTTGGATAAATCAGGAGTTCCTCTGCAGTTGGCTTGAAAACTGAGATACCGCACTGATTAATTAGACTAACGATTGGCAATGTGTTGCTCTTCCAGCAGCTGCACGTACACTGGTTTGCTTGTCTATGATATAGGCTCAAATCCCCGTCAAAACCATGTGTTATGTGTTTTTTCTGCTCTTAAGCTCATGAATGGGTGTGAGAATATCGGTCCAATACGGTATCTAATGACACTTCTGTGCAACTTCAGAATTGTAATTCACACTTATGTTATGTAGTTTGCTTCAATGTTTATGAAAAAAAATAACATTGTTGCACTGAACCTGCACGTCGGTGGCAAAGTTTTGTCACAGTGAAAATGACGTAGGTCGATTCGTTCTCTCTTTAAGATACGTGGATCATGGGGGTTATCATCTGGTAATCCAAAAATTTATGTTTGTTCGACACTGTTGTCATCGCGTATCAAAGAATTACAGTTTAACTAAGTCTTAATCGATTGAGACTTTGTTATGTCTCACTCCATACTATCTTTCTTTGATCTTGCATGTAGAGATTCAAATATGAACTATATACAGAATAAAATGAGTGAATCCATACTTTAAACTACGTCTATGTGCATCTATATTTAGTTCATATTAAAATCTTTAAAAGACTTATATTTAGAAATAGAGGGAGTATATCACTTGATTGAGACTTAAAATCTTTAAAAGACTTATATTTAGAAATAGAGGGAGTATATCACTTGACTGAGACTTGATTAAGTCTCATTTGACTGAGATCTAGACACAAAGAATTACTCCAAGGATATAAAACACGCCGTGAAGAACAACGATGATGACAAAGGTGTACACATTTCTTTCTCGCTCTCTCTTGCGAAAAAATAGGTGTACACAGTTGATTAGCACTCGATCTGATATATCAATTTATCTGGTTTTGGTTCGGCTTTCTCTAATTAATTGAGCAACTCTTTCTTTTTAATGAATGAAAAAAAACTGCCATTTTGAAAGAAAAAAATTTATCATCAGATAGTCGATCAACGTGTTCTGGTGTTCAGCTGTTCAACAACGATCCTGCGTACTATTCTGTATTCTGCACTTGCTTGCTTAGGGACAAGTCAATGTCCAGTGGCATCCTGGCCCAATAGGCCGACACATTTGGCCCACTAACAGACGAAAAGTCGGAGAGAGACTTCTGATCTTTCATAACCAAGTAACCAACAAGAACCCCTCAAAAACACAGAAGTTAGGTAAACAATGGCACTGTTCAGTAGTCACTGTCATATCGCTAATATCTCGTTATCGTCAAGTCCACATTTGCATAAATGTAGCTGATCCCGGCAATCCGATGAAAAAAGATTGAAGAGGCAAACATTCCTGTCTCCATGGACCATTGGAGTGCGTTGCATTGCTAATTGCTTCCTCCCGATGTAGACCATGTCTCTTCTCTAGCAACCATCTTGAAAAAACAAATTGCTTTCTTTGGCAGCCTAGACGAAGGAAGCGGAGGCGGCCATGCACGAACACACGCAATTTGGGTGGGCGGGTATCTTCTACACGCCACTTACTTTTGTTTCTATAAAATCAAATCCATTAGAGAATAAAGAGAAAGCATAGAATTTCTCACGTCAGACTCAGAGTGTATCATGATTATTTTAACGGGGTGATGTAAAATTAAAATAGGAATTGCAACGATTGTTAAAGGAAAGTCGAATGGTTTGCCATGTACTCTCTGCTGAAATTTCTGGGCTTTAGCCCATTTATTTAATCCCTAGGGAAGTCTCACAGGCCCATGTGGCTCACTATGCATGATAAGGTGTGTGAAAAGTTTAGTCTCAGCGCGCTAATGGAGGATGAGTAAAATCAACTTGTAAGATGAGTTATTCCACATACCACCAAGAACTTAAGAAAAATACCTAAAAAAGAGCTTGGGAATAGAGCACATACACGTGCGGTTCTTCTCCATCGCCTGCTCCGCACACACATCATGTTTCATGATCAAGCCGCGCTAGGATCTTTATTAAGTTGAAGCGCTATGACCTATTGAACATGTACGTGTGGCCTCAATTTTTGTCACTCGAGCTAAGGTGAGTTATTCTAGCTAAGGTGAAACATCCAGCTATTTTCTGTCACACCAGCTAAGCTTAATTATTTCACATACAACTAAGAACTTGAGAAAAATCCCTAAAAAGAGCTTGAGAATAGAGCGCATACACGTGCGCTCTTTTTCAGCCGCCCGCCCCGCACACGCGTCATGTTTCATGATCGAGTTGTGCTAGGACCTTTTTTAAGTTGAAGCACTAGGATCTATTCAACGTGTACGCGCAGCCTTAATTCTTGTCATGGGAGAAAGAAAATATTTTTGGCCTCGAAGGGAGATAAATTTGAAGAGTTGTCACGAACTGCTTCTTTTCCTCTCCTTAGTGGCATTTGCCTCTCTTAGAGTAGGCCTCGGGAAGTTCATCTCTTGTGATCCAATATGGGAGAGGGGCGAGTGGGTTTCTGGGGAGCGCTTTCGCGTGACTGATGAGTCTTCGACCCAGTTCTTTTCGCACGGGATTATGTAGAATCAAGATTCTTAAAAATTCTCCCAGAATAAGCTTCCCATGGAATCTGCCATCGATTTCATTTCTGAGATCGTGGGTTGAGATTGTGGATTGAGTTGTGTGCTAAATATTTGTACTACCCTTCCATAGATTTTTTTTGATGAATTGTTAACACTTTGTTCCTTGACTTTCTCCATCTACCATTGGCACTAGGGATGGCAATGGGTACCCATTACCCACGTACCCTGCGGGTAAAAACCCTATTAGGGTAAGGGTATAGGACAAAAAATTATCCTTGGGTATATGAATAGGGAAATGTTAAACCCATTGGATAGAGTAGGTACAGGTATGGGAGCATTTAACCCATACCCACATACCCATGTACCCATATAAAATCTATATGAACTCAAAATTATCTCTACACTTTATCATGAATTTGTGAACTCAAAATATATGACTATGTGATGATGTTTTGATGTGTCGTTGTTTATGAGAAAGTGATGTTGTTTATTAAATATGATATTGTTTATGATGTGTTATTGTTTATGAGAAAGTGATGTTGTTTATTAAATATGATGTTGTTTATGATGTGTTGTTGTTTAAAAGTGTGTTGTTGTTGTTATAATATATTGTTGTTTATAGATTATAATTATATGTTGTTTTTATGACTATGAGTAGTTCAAACTGATGCTTTGCAAACATGGGTAATTTTACCCATGGGTACCCATGTACCCTGTCGGGTAACGGGTATGGGAAAAATTATACCCATTAATGGGTATGGGTAAGGGTGATGGATAAGCTCAGAGGGGATGGGTAAGGGTATGGGGTGGCTCCACCCGTACCCAAACCATGCGGGTGCCATCCCTAACCATTGCCATTACCATTATCACATTAGCATTAAACAACATCATTCAACAATCTAACAACATCTTCATACAGATACATTAAAAAATGACAGTACCAATATATATGCAGTCCGATGAAAAAAGATTTTCTATGGAGGAGTCTTCCCCTAAGGGGGCCTCGATAACCATAGATGGTTCTTCTCGCTAGGAGGTCTTGAATCCTCTCATGGATGTTCTCCAAAGAGGAATCTCACAAGGGGAGATACATGATCTAAGCTCTATGATATGAGATCTATTCCGGGCTATTCTAGAAATGAGGTGGAGGAGGTCTATATATAGTGCTAGGGGTGAAGGGGTAAGTTAGGTGGGGATACAAGGCCCAAGGCCCACATTTTTCGCAGGCAGGCCCAGACGATCCGAAAGGCAACCCTGATGATCTGGGCATCTTTTGGATGATTCAGATAGGGTCCTGGATGATCCGGCTTAGTGGCTGGGCTTCCGGTGCCTTCGGTTATCGTAACCAGGGACGTCCGGCTGATGCCCGCATCTGGCTGGTCGCCCAAATGACCCAACTTCAGCATAGCACCCATGCCATCTTCTCCTCCTTTCTTTCATCTTTGCTTACACGCTTCCCACGGGGATGGCCTAGTCATACGCTCGATGGTTACATCGAGTGGGAATTCATCGAGGGTGATTCCTCAGGTTCCCCCCTTGTTGTTTTGGACACACAGGTACTTTGACTTACCACCTAACCATGATGACATCGGGTCGGCCCCGAGGGGTACCCATGAGTGATGTGATGTCGGGTTGATCTGGAGGATACCCGCAAGTTTTCCACGCGGCGTGGTCGGGCATTCTTAGCCCTTGCCGCAAGTCCCTGAGACGGGGCGACGGGGTCACATGATCGTGTCTCTGCTTGTTACTGAGGGAGTCCCGGATTAAGGGGTCCTCAGACAGCCGGACTATATGCATATGCCGGACTGTTGGACTATGAAGATACGAGATAGAAGACTTCGTCCCGTGTCCGGATGGGACTCTCCTTTGCGTGGAAGGCAAGCTTGGCGATTAGGATATGAAGATTCCTTTCTCTGTAACCGACTCTGTGTAACCCTAG